CCATTACTGTTGCCCCCTTACAGCTTGGCAGGGCCCACACAACCAATCAATTTTATTGAGAATGCCTTGGATCTGCTGCTAAGCGCTGAAGATGAAGGAAATGACGAATTGGAACTGGTTTGCCCCGTACATCACCCGAAAAAGAAGTCGAGCGATAGCAGCGGAGACGACGGCAAAGATAAAGATGGCGTCATTCAAGTGTGCTCATGTCGCTTTTTTAAGAAGAGCAAGAATGCCTAGAGTTCGCTGAGTGCCTACAACAGTCCAAAAGCTACATACATACATATGTCGCTTCTGCGAATATTATATTTCCTAGCTACCCTTTGTTATTTTTCTCAACATTTCTGCTATGCAATAAATATTTGTTCTTCTATATATTTAATATAATTGAGTTACGTTTTCTTTATCGGACTCACCTTATCAAATGCCATCGGACGTGACAGCTTCTCAATGGTCTGTCCACCGCTCGAAGTGCTGGAGCTGCCGCTCGAGATGCCGCCAAGCAGCGACGAGGTCGACGACGAGTTCTGAACGCCATACGGTTGAAGCGGATGCGCTGGCAAGTGGTGCGTGTGCGGTGGATGTGGATGGTGGGGTGTATGATGTGGCTGATGATAGTGCTGTACACCCACGGCGCTGCCGCTGAACACAGTGGCCGCCTGAGTGGTGCCCGATATCGCTATGGCTGCAGTTGCCAGCGCAGGACTGGTGCTCGCTGGCACCACGCCACTACCGCCCGCTGCGGTTACACACACAGCATCGCCGCTGAGAGCGCGCACAAGTGCGTTGGTCGTGTTGAGCGATGCCGCACTAACGGTCGCAGTCACTGTGGCAGCTGCACCAACCGCAGCCGGCGATGTGGTGGCCGTCGAGTGCGTTTGCTGCTGCTGCTGCTGCTGCTGAAGATTCAGTGCTAGAGTTGGCTTCACTTGCGACACCAAAGGCACCAGTTGCTGCTGCTGCTGCTGCTGCTGCTGCTGAGGGCGCAGCACTAGTTGTCTGTCTCTGTCCGGCGGCAAGCCGCCAGGAGGCTCCATGGCCACTGCACAAATGAACAATTGCGCCTTGATTGGCACAATTTGCGCGAAAACGTCTGCTTCGTTGGGGAATTTATTTTGTTGGCTTGATTCACCAGGGTCAGCGCGAATTGCGGGCTCGCTGAATTTGAGATTCCTTGCAACGATTATGTCGCTATGGAGAGACAATGTATGTAGCTTTCTTGGTATTCAAGTCGGTGGTGCTGGTTGCTGTTCAATTTCCAATTGGCGTGAAATCTGCCGCAGCTCAAATAGAGTCAAATTGATTTAGTTGGATTTAATTAAGTCAAGACGAGACGTGGCAAAGGCGGCGAATCAATTCGTGACAAAGATTTAATTGAATTCGCACGTAGACGAGAGTATAGCTTAGTAGTGGTAATGTAAAGTTTGGTTTTTCTGTTCTACCTCTGTATTTTTTTGTAATAGCTTCTTTATTCTTGATTTCGATTTTAGGTGCACCAAAATCTTTTTAGCCAAACTCCATCATGTCTTTGTGTATAAAAATATTCGCTGCAAATAGCAAAGTAAAAAAAAAAATATTTATAAGTAAATAAGTCACACACCACGAAGCTGAGTCGTTTCTGCATGAAAGTAAAAAGGATACTAGGATTGGAGAAAGAAAATTCTTGAAAATAGGACACGTACATACAAATGAATAGCTGTAGCAAAATTTTAAACTAAAATACATTTCTACAAATTAAGCTTTAGCAGAACTCATAAAACACTTACAATGTTTCATTTTTTTTTTTTAGATTGGTTGCTCCTTTTTTCGCTTAAAATATTTCCTCTAAAACAGCATTTGTCGTTGTACCCGTTTTTTGTCCGTTTGTTATTGTTTTTCCTCTAGAGCCTTTATATGTATTTAGTGTTCCGCTCTCTCAGACTAAGTGTAGTCGCTTATGGAAGCTGGTGGATGCCGTTAAATTTGCTTACTCCTTCGCAGCAGGCGTGTATTGGATTTGTTGACGCATCCGTGGGCACAAAGTCTTTGCGAGAACAAGGCGCTCGTGACTCCACCTCTGCTAGCTTTGGTTGTGCTGGTGGTGGTGGTGGTGGTGGTCGTCGTTTTTGTGGCGATAAATGAGCTTATTTTCCGGTTATGCAATATGTGCCAAAGCCGTAGAGATATTTGCGTAGTTTTGGCAATTTTTGGCCTTTCTCGTATTTTAATTGTGTTGATTTGTGATCTTGCTCCAGCCGTAGCCGTAAGGGCCGTTGCTGTTGTTGTAGCACTAGATTTTGGTTTTGTTGTCGCGCTATTTGCAGCCTCACAGGTTGGTGCGCGTTTGCTCGTCTTTGTATTGAAGAGTGCCCACTTGAGGCTGCAATCCATTGCGTCATCACAACGGCATAAATTTCAAAGCCTACAAGAAGAAGAAGAAAAATGGGTGGAATTAGGCCAAACAAAGATCTATATATACAACAAAATTGTATGTGTTTAAACTATATATTTTCTACTAATTAACTGCTATCAAATCTAGATTAATATAGCATTAAATAGAGGTGGACAATTTTGTGTGAAGGCGGCCATGACCAACAGTAATCATCAGTTACCACCGCTTATGTTCGAAAATGAAGATGTTTCCGTTTTTGCTAAGGTCGACTTATTTGAGGCAAGTGTGACTTTTATTTCCCGCGTATAAGGCTCACTTCCGATTCTTTTTAGACTCTCCCTAGCCTCTTATTGAGCTCATAAACTCAGTGCAAGAAGACTCCTGTTATATGCTATATTTTAGAACGAGTTTCCGTCATCCCTTGTCAAATACGGTTTGGTGTGTCATCTTCAGCAAGTCTTACGTTTATCTTAGGAATTAATTTCTACTGCCCCTGGAAGTATTATATTGTAGAGCATACTCTCTATTGGTTAAGATTTCAGTACAGTCTTGAAGCCTTAAAATTTTGTTGGTGTTTCTAGACGGTTTGTGTATAGTAAATACATTACCTTCATCAGCTTTTATTTTCTCCCAGCTGGGAGTCTTTCTATTTGACGGTGCGAATGAACTAATAAAAGAGAGATTTTACTCAGACCCTTTTAAGCCATTAACCACAATTTAGACTATAAAGAAATGCGAATTTTAAAGGCATCTAACAATAACATATCACTATCCGGGGATATATTGTCACTAGACACGAATAAAGGCACGCTCGTGTTTTGACGGCGAAAAAAGACGCGCAAAAAAAAATTGGCGCAGAAAGACGCTTGAGAAAAACTTCGCCGAGAAAGACGCGTAAACATCGATTTGTACCTGGCCAAGGACTGTCACTTCGACATTGTTCCCCAAAAATTTTAAAATTCTTTTGGGAATTTACATAGTGTTACAGCCGCTAATAGAGTCGACCCCGAAAATAGGTTAACGCGTCTTTCTTCGCTGTCAGCTATGTTAAGAACCTTTCTTCGCCTTTCTTCGCTGTCAACTTTTTAGTTCTCGCTCTTATTTGTGTTTAGTGACGATATGTATACATATGTAGGCATTTCACAATTGAATTATCTATGCATATCGAGCCCTAACCGCCAAAATAACGTAAGCGACATTTTTTTCAAAATTTTCTTTTGGATGCAGAAATATTCCTAGAGCATTTAGGCGCATTTCTGCATCAAAAGAAAAATTTTGAAAAAAATGTCGCTTACGTTATTTTGGCGGTTAGGGCTCGATATAATAAAATTGTAACAGGCTGATGTCTGTATTGCCTGCGGTCTAAAGATCTGAACTCATTGAAAACGACGAGCTACGGGCCACAGCATCCAATTTGTTATCTTCATTATCTAAATACATTGTCGATGACGACATGATTTTTTTGAACGCGGCAGCGACATCATGAATTTGTATGAGTCTGACATAAAATAAGAGGAAGAACCTTATCTGTCGCTGGAAAGATAGAAATAGATCTAAACGGGCCACAACCACAGTCGTCGCGTTGCCCGGCCGTAGCCAAATTATTATGTATCTACATAAGAGTACGTGTTAAAATAATTTGACAGCTGTGGTAAAATATAGAAGAAAAAAAATTAGGTAGTTTCCACCTGTTTGAGAATTGCAGTTAAGGCAAAATGATAAGATAAACTAAATGTTGCAATAGGGCTGTCAAAAGAAAGATATTTAAGAAGGCTTGCTGCAGAAAAAAATGTATGGAAGGTTGCCACCTGTTGGAAAGTTTAATTTAATTCAATTAATAAAATAGATTAAATATTTCAATATGGATATCAAAGTAAAGAGGTTTGCGAAAGTTTACTGCCGAAAATAATTTTGAGGAGGGTTGCCACCTGTTTGAAAAATTGTATTTATTTAAATTGATTGAAGAAAGTGGGTGATATGTATGTATGTATGTAGACTTGAGTTATATGATTATAAATTAAATTTCCACGAGAAAGTCGATACTCTACCTACTTTCTTCATAGCTTCGAAAATATATTAACTAACACTCACATTTATAAAAAAATAAAGACTGCTTCATTAATCGAAAATTCATTTGAAAATCTTCCTTCATAAAGCTCCTAAAATCTATGTATTTTATTTTTTATGAATGAGGCCACAAGAGTTTTGGGAGGGAATAACAATGCAAAAATAATTTTAAGCCGCCGTCAAGCATGGCGGATGTTTGCTAATCATTACGTAAATATGTATTTCCTTTTAGACTTCTTCTGACTTGTTCTATTCTCTGATTTCACTATCACTGATATCGATAATAATCGATATTTTTCAAAATATTTCTCTTTATATTCTGTGTTATCTCTACTAGTACTAGAATTTGTTTTTTTTTTTTTTACAAAATCACTTACCGTAACTAAGTTTTACTAAGAGTACCTCACTATTGACATCTGTGTTAACGCATGGCAGCTTTCGCTAATTACTTCAAAGTATCATTCGTGTTGAATAGGCCCATCCACATGCAGCCATCGTACCCAACACTGAATATTACTTTTTACATGGCATGCCGTAAAGAATGAACCATTGCAAAATGCTTCCATGTATGTATGGGTATTTGATTCTTCAGCAATGCACGCTTGCTACCACCAGAGCTGCCAACTTGGCTCAAACCGTGCCATTTTTGGCCCTATTTTACTTCTAATGGCACTTAATTTTTCAATTTGGCACAAAGCGCCAAATGGCACTTTCGAGAAAAAAATTATATTTCAAAACATTTTTGTGAAATCCTTTGCGCATACATACTTCCTTTTCTCGACTACAATTTTCTAATTTCTATAGTACGTACAACTGGTTGACCTTGATTTGGTATTGTACTTTTGTTGTAGGAATGTGTTTCTAATTTTAATGCTAAAAGGGAAGAATTATAAAGAATGGCACTTTTTTTAGCACTTTTATTTTTCTATTACGCACATTTTGGCACTTTTTTTATCCTTAATATGGCACTTCATAGCTAAGTATAGTTGGCAGCTCTGGCTACCACTCGTTGCTTCACTCGTCGCAGGTAAAAGAGTAATAATGGCTGCAAAAGGCACTAATTGCACACAGTTGACATGGGCTGCTCATACGCTCGCAAATTGACTGAGTATTGTTTGTAATTTCCTGCTGCGCTGTCAAAAAGCATGTATGTTTTTTCTCTTTTTCTTTCTTTACCCAGTGTGTAGGTGATATGCATATACATACACAAATGCTCATCTACATACACACATGCCAATTTAAATTTTAAAACTCGTGTCTGCACTTGCTGGCCCACTTTGATGGCCCTTTTATGCCCTTGATGTACACTAGGGCGGTCCAAAAATGCAGGCGAATAAAAAAAAGTCGGGATTTTAATGCACTCACCTCCTATATCGAAAAAAAACGTACCACTATTTTTTTATTAAAAATTTTTATAGATCGCTCAAAGCGCTCAAAGTTCTCGATGGTGTTTATATGAGAAGAAAAAAAAACTTTTGTTGAAATGGTATAGAATCCTTGAAAACCAATATTTTTCTATAGGAAAACTCAGTTTCTTTTCAGTAGACTTCAAATAATAACACCCAATTGCTTATTTAGCCATTTCTAATAAAAACTATTTTTATGGGTCCCCCATTAAGTTTTTCTGGGTTTTCGGTTGCCCCCCTAAAAAAATAAGGAAAATTAAAAAATTTGTTAAGTTAGCATTTGGAGTAGAAAAAGTTGAGAGAAAGATCGAAAATATTGATTTTCAAGAATTCTACCATTTTCCGAAGATTTTTCTCCCCATATAAAATACAGGGAAAACTTTGCGCGCTTTAAGCGACCTGTAAATATTTTTTTTTATTTAAAAACAAAATAAACCGGGGTATATTTCTTCGATGTGGAACAATTCTAGGGGATGAGATCTTTAAAATTCCGACATAACTTTGTTTGCACCACCCTAATGTGCATACATTCATATGAATTTGTTTGGTTTGCTCTCTGTGTGTGTGTGTGTTGAGGCCCTGGCTGCTGTACTAACAAAGTAAAATACAAATGGTCGTGCCGGTATGGTGGAGAGTGACTTGCCGCTTGACTGAGTCAATAATCATGTTTTTATATGCACTCAGCGGAAGTCTAATTAATTCTGCAGGAAGCACAGTTAATATGGTAATTTCCGGTTAGTTCAACCTGCACACATGCACCATGACCAAGTATATATACGTACATATGTAAGTGTGTGTGTTTTTTTCAAGCCGGTGAGGATTGAAGAAGCAAAGACAAATACGTGACTGGTTCATTGGTGTGCGTGAACTGAGCGGTGTAGCAGCACGTGCGCAAGGACAATACAGGCGATTAGCAGATGCAGGGTTGGTTTCTAAGTATTAATTAAATGTGGCCTAGCAACACCTAAGTGTTTAAGTACATGAATATATGTACATATTTAGTTTGTATGTATCTACTCAGAAAAAATATGTACTTACATATATGCCAAGGTCATATTTTGATATGTGGATAGAAAGCAATGCATATGAAGTAGGTATATGCGTTAGACCAAAACCACATTTACCCGCATGCTACGTTTCAAAAGCTGGTTTTCAAATGCTGAAAATTTATAATTCTAGCGAAAAATGGTAAATAATATTTGACAATTTAGATACCAAATATTCTTCGTCTTCTTATTTGGCGCTACAACGACCAGATGGTTTTTTTTCTGCTCTAATACTACTAGCTGGTCAATATGCCTTAGTGAAAAGTAATTTTTTTTATGTTGAAATATATATGTATGTATATATAGTAGGAAGGTCCAAAAATACATGCGAGGAAAAAATTTTGAAATGTTAGGCTCTGACCCCTAGGATTTTTCGTAATGGAAAACGCGTATATTTTTATTAAGAACAATTATGATGAGGGCTTTGAGGCAGCAAATTAAATTTTCCATATCTTTCATATGGAGAAAAATCACCTTTTCGTAGAAATTGTATAAAATTCTTGAAAATCAA